AACAATCCCGTGCACGTCGACACAGATGGTGCTGTTGGCATTAAGACGCACAAGCACATCTTGAAAACAGCAGTAATTAATATATGAGTTTATAGCATCGGTACGGTCCATGAGGCGAGCACAGAGGCAGAGAAAAAGACGCTTATGTAATGAACTACCTCCGCTCTGCTGTTTTTTTTTTCTGCCTCAGAGTTGAATCAGCCGGCTGAGTGAAAGAAGAGGATATTAAAAAACGCACCGTCTAATGTATTCATAAGATATTCAAATGCAGAGCACGGCGGTGACTGGCTTCTGGATCAGTTAGCTTTAAAGGAGGAGCTTTTCAGGGTCACTAACACATTTTCTAATATTGAAAAATGAATGCACAAATGCCTTTCCAGTCTCTTTAAGAGCGGCATGACAATTATACAGTTTTCCGCCGTGTTAAGCCCCACAGGTACGCTAAAAGTCTGAGAGCGGCTGACTGGGTCTGCTCTCCGTGATGTCAAGTCAGTCATTAATGGCTTGTCACCACAGTGCCTCCACGGGGAGGGGGGGGGGGCGGAGAGAGAGCCAGAGGAGCAGGGTTTTTCTAGAATAATGCACAACTCCGTTCTTCATTCACAGCCCAGAGAAATGGAGAGTGACTGCGTTTCCTTTCTGAAAATCACCTTCGTGGAATGAGCACCTTTTAGCCCAACTGGAACTCCGCGTCCGCTAATACCGTTCACTGATCTCATGATCTCAGTGGAAACACAAGGGCCACGGCTCTCGCTGTCACCCGTGGCGGTGGTAAGGGAGTGAAGGAGGGGCGGGGATGGGCTGGGCTAGGCCGGGCTGGGCTGAGTCATTGCTACTACAGCTGCGGGCCAAAGGGGGGTAAATGGGGCAGATCTGGTGCCTGAGCCTGCGTCACACTCTGGAAAGAGGAGAAGCTGTGTGGGAAAGTAGCTCATCATGCTGCCTGCCGGCTCTCTGTCTCAGGCAATATCACTGCTGCCACTTCAATCATGAGTGAAGAGCGCTGCCGTCCTCAGCCAGAGCCATATATTCTTTTTTTAAATTAGCACAGGGTTGATCAAACTCAGCCTGCTCAGGCTGGCGGTTTAAGACCCTGGTTTGACCGACAGCTTGCATCAAGGTAGGTGTAAGATCCAGCATGTTTGGGGCTTGAACTGTACTAGGGACCAAAAGTCAGGATATCTAAAAGGCTAGATCTGGTCTGAGATTGGTAGTTTCAGACATGTTGCATTTTGGGAATTGCATGATCCAGCGTTTTTGGAGCTTGCCCCAAAATAGGGACTGAAAGTGAGGATATCTGAAGGATCTCAGGATATTCAAAAGGCTTCGACTGGTCATTAGGTCAGCAGTTTGAGACACCTGGTCCCACTCATCTAACCAAACATACCGCTGAGTTGCATCATGGGAAAGGCAGAATCCAGTGTCTTTGAAGCGTTTGCCATACAAGGGACTAAAAGTCAGGATTTCTCTGCCTCTGCTGCATCCAGTTTAACGGCTCTCTTATGAGTCCCTCAACTTTATGGACACTCAGTTCCAAATAACTGGAGCCTTCCCCTTTAACGTCATAGTGATTTATTGTAATAGAATAAGATCACAACATGTAATCATCCTTCTTAGATTAAGACATTTGACATTTTGAATATTTGTTGAATAGTTAAAGGCAGAAAAAAAAAGCAGATCTTCAATATGTTTTGTCTGTGGTTGCAAGCGATACAGAAAAAGGCAAAGAGATGGATTTGGATTGCATCACCATGAATCATTATGTTTTCTTTTTCTTACCTCTTTCTTAAAAACAGCATGTGGGTCCTTTTCTTTCTTATTGATGATCTGAAAAAGTAAAGTAAAATAAGTTGTAAAGGTGCTGTAGGAGATTTATGTTCAAGGCAGCGTGTTGTGTCACAGTTAGTTACATTTCCAGTGAATTTTCAAAACATTACGTCATCGACAGAGGATTAAACAGCAGTACTTTATACTGTAAGTTAAAGATCCCATATTGTATAAAGGTAGATGTCCATGTGTTTGATTATTGATCAGCTCTAGGTTCTATATTAATACTGTGAAAGTATCAAAGCCTCAGTCCACAGAGAAATGCACACAGCCTGTATTCAGAAACTGAGCCTTAAAACCAGCCGTCAGGACTTCTGGAACTTTGTGATGTCACAACAAGGCAAGCCAAGCCCCGCCCACCTCGACTCACCATCCAAAAGTGTAAAATAAGTTACAATGTTTCGCTATTAGTCACTGAAACTTTACTTTATATGTCTATTCTGTGAATATCAGTGTCACTATATGCACATGCAGGGTAGAAAAATGCATCTGCAGGGCATGAAAGCAAATGTCAGATTAAAGCAGTAAACACAGACAAGAAGCATCACTTAGTGCCCATAAAACCCAGACCAGAATTAGAAGCGGGAATGAGAAAGGTCCATATTTCAAGGACACCGTCTGGACGGGGGCAGAGAAAGCAGCCAAATTGGACGGAGTTAAGCTGCACTAACTGCTTGTTGTGACTCGGGAGAGAAAACACAATCGTCCCTTTGACCGGCCGACTCCGCTGAGAAAGGATACATTGTTCCTGTGTTTTGGGTGGATTATGAAGGGACATGTCACAACAGCAGGTTTTTGACAAGGTCTTGGGTGTCCGCTGTTGTGTGCTTTACTTGTGAGGAATGCTGATGAGGCCTAATGAGGTTTTAATCCAGCCGGAGTTATTAGTGGCAGGTCATCTTACAACAACCTGGGGTCAGGCTGCATTAAGGCTGCAGAGGTCCGCTCCTATTGGATCACTGAGCATGACACAGACACGTCAGCACTTCAGCAGCTTTTAACCATCCAGAGAAAAGGGTTTTATCCTTTGTCGTCTCTTGACAGTACAATTTGCAGATTTTGGAACATACCACACCATCAAACGATTATTATATGAATTGCTCATGATGACATGATCGACTGGAGTCATGAGATTACGGTGCCATTTAAGAATCCACATGTTCTCTGGAGTTAATTCTTCATTCACAGGCTCGGCTTTCATTTGAAAGCACTTTGCTGATCCGTGGAAAAAAAAAAAAAAAGACCCAGGAAACAAATCAAAGCCCGACGTCTGACAAGTGGCTTTTACCTCAGAGTTCAAGTCGTCCCCAGGACAGCTTTTCAAACTTGCGAAGACTTGTTAATTAATATGTTTTGCCCCAAGAGCAGCATGAGTCATCAACATTTCACAGTATGTTTACAGAAAGGATTTTTGGGGCTGTTTAGTGTTGCAGATTTGCAGTAAGCATTTTTTCTTTTTGAAAGCATCATCTCCTTGGGGTGAGGTTTAGTAATCCAAAAAGCTTACCCTTTTTTTCCCTCACCGGGGTCCTTAAGAATGGTGCTGTAAAATGATGGTGATTATAATTAAGATAATGATGATAATGATGTAAAGGTAATGGAAGTTGCACTAGAAGCAGCAAGCACAGCTGCAGAACTAGCAGCAGCAGTGATACACTCCAGCTTATCAAAACTCATTTTATTTAGGGTGGAAAGAAAAAAGTCTGTAAGCAAATGAAGAATATTTCTGCTTTTTAATAATACAAATCATCTGCAGGAACTTTATAAAAATTAGCATTTATATCCTAAAACAAGAAAGAATAAAGCACAAGAGTCAAGAAAAACAAACATTAATTTTGCAAAATACTTGAAGCAATTTGTTTTGTATTGTTAACAGGTCAAAATTTTGCAGTAGCAGACTTAAAGCAACACTAATCAGTGTTTTTTGGTATAAATGGATCAAAATATTGTAATATGAACAGGGTAGGTGTCGTGACAAACAGTATTCCTCAACTCTGCAGTTGCTCTCTGTTATGCGTGGCATTTCAGCGACTCTCGTCTCATTGTTTTTGTCTATTCTTAACTCTCATCAATTCATCTCCAGCAGCAGCTATTATCAGTGGAAAAAAGCTCTAATTAACCCACTGTGCACTCCCTGCCCAGCACCAAACAGCAGACAAAGTTAGCAACTAGTTTACGAACAACAACTTCACCATATCAACTTTATAAAGTGACAATATGTCAGTGTTTTTTTTTACGTCTTCTTCCGTTGCCAAGAAATGTGCCGCTTTATCGACCTTAAATCCCGTTTGATTTCCATGTAATTATAATGATTGATTTAGCAGCAGCAGTGGCAGCAGGAGGAGTTTTAGCAGCATTAGCAAGTAGTTGTAGTAACATTCGTAGCATTAAGAGTAGCATAAGCAGCAGCTGTAGCCGTGGCATCATTAGTAATGACAGCAGTAGCAGTGGCTGGTGCTTCAGCAGTGAGAGCAGCAGCAACAGTAGTGGTGCAGTAGCAGGGGCTGTGCTGTCGCAGTAGTAGCATTAGGAGTAGTTACGGTAAATAAAAGGGCTGTAGGTCTCTGCTGAGACATTACATGGCAGCAGTGTGGGTTTTAAGCTCCATCTAAACAAGGTTGTTAAGTTCAGTGTCATCATTTACCGTTGGTATTGACATCTAATAAATAAAACTGTATATGTGCTGTTTAGCAAATCTAAATGTGATAGCACTTAGTCGGGCAGCCAGACACTTCAAATGAGTCACTCAAAGAGCCAGAGATAATTGGTGTGCATAAGACTGGTGTCAGAGGGTTATAGGTACACCCCTCTCCCTCTGAGAGGCTTTTTCAACAGCTCTGTCATCAGGGAGAGTAAGTGCCTGCTTGTTCCACTGGAAATGTTGGAATTAATTGAACTGAATTGTTATTCATAATCTACATGTTGCAGTTTTCCACTGGCTAGGGGGTAACGCTATCTTCCGCTGTTTGCACTGTAATTGAAATTTCGATCATGAGGTGTAAACATTTAGGAGCACGCCATGAATATTCATGAGCTGGGTGAGTGTCTCTGAGTGAGTGTTGGCGGAGGAGTCAGTGCGGCTGATTTGTGGCTGGCTCGTACGTGTGTTTGGGGGTGTGTGTGTGTGTGTGTGTGGGTTTGCCCTTCGCTTATTGACATGTTCTTGTCTAAACAGCTCCATCCCAGGTCAGCGAGGTCATCAAGGAGAAAGTGCAACAGCGCAGCATCCAGCTCTCCTGGCAGGAGCCGCAGCAGCCCAACGGCGTCATCACGGAATATGAAATCAAATACTACGAAAAAGTGAGTTTGTTTGTGTCTTCCTGAAACCTTTTCCCTTTCTCTCAGTTCGCATTCACTTTTTGCCGACTCCTCATTTTGTATTCTATCTGCATGCTGCTGTGAGTGGAATTCACAAGATTCTGCAAGTACCTTCTTTGTCTCATAATTGCAATAATGAATGAGATGCTCATAAGATTTTAATCAGGCTATAGTCCTTCACAGCCACCCCCACGCACATGTTAGCACGCACACACAATCCGTGACTGCTGCACTGCCAGAATTAGCAATCTGTTACTGTTATCTCCTCTCCCCTCCCACATAGATTATACTGCTGCTTCCCCACCCTCTCTGCTTCCCCACCCTCTCCACTCCCCCCCCCACTCCGTGTTTCAAGTCTGAACACATCAGCTCTTTACAGCAAAGGTTTAATGGAGCGAATTTAACCCTGCAAATCAAAGGCAGGGTAGCAGAGCTCCGGTGCCAGTCCTGCTTGGCCACAGCCTCTCGCACACACACTGACAAATCAGTCTCCTATGTCACGTACTGTGGCTTTGGTCTGCCCAGCTGTAAAAGTGGAAAATTGGAAACAACGACTACACCCCTAACAGACCCTGGCATTCCATTTGGGCTTTTGCCGAGCAAAACATTTACAGTTCAACAACAGAGTACACAATGCGTGCACACTGTGCATCCAAATGGATTCTTTGATGGAGAAGATATATTTTTATACGTGTTTATGTTCTCTATGTGGAAGGACATCTCATTTATTATTTATTATTGCAGTAAAAAATGTGAGGTTTTTCTGTAACCTACAATAAATATAAAGCATAATTACCAATTTTATGAATCTCAAATATCATCAAAGAAAAGCTGGTACTAAACTCGGCTGGGCTGAGCAATATGGCCTATAAATAATAATAATAAATAAATAATATCGCAATATTTTTAGGCTATATCACGATACACGATGTATCTCGATATTCTATCAAAATTCCCTGAGAAAGACATTTAACCAATTTGTCCGCTTCCATCTTCAGTTACCGTTTCTGATCACGTATAAACTCGCTTTGGTGCTTCACTTCTTCTTCGTTCTATCCAGTTCCCTCCGCCGCAGATACAAAAACACACACACACACACACACACACACCTCACCTCCTCTATGTCACACACGTGGCACGAGATAGTCATTTACTACATCCCGCGACCAACAAGCAGTGATATATCCAGTATAGTCATTACATCACCCACCCATAGGTGGACTTTGCTATGGTTCAATAGTTTGTATGGTACTTTTCAGCATAATGCACATTTCCACAGCAGTTATCAGTTCATCAGTGGACTTTATGTTTTTAACATAAATACTGGTTTTCTTTAGCTTATCATTCTCAACTGATTCAACTTTGCTGTTTTTTTGTTTTTTTTTTAATCACTATATCAATAAACCCTGCTTCCTCATGACATTTCACATAAGTCTACCCAGAAAAGGTGACCTTATGCCCTTTAAAAGCCAACGGATGGTTTTTAATATTAAACATCTGTGCAGGAACCCTTGTGTTTCATTGATGTTAAAAAAAACAGCAAAGTAGAAGCAAGTGTAATTAAATTGTGACTGAAAACAGCATTTCTTAGAAAGCAGAAACTGAGAGTGGCAGAGTAGTGAGTATGATATGCCTCTCCCTGTTGTACAGAGGGAGGTGGTGCTGTAGAAATATACGTTATGCCTAATTTACTTAGACAACAAGTAAACACAGGGGAAATGTTGAGGGTGTATCAACAGCAAATTAAACCAGGAGCAGATCAGAAAAATGCAGATGCATCTTACTAAAGTTTGAAAATTTATACTAAAAAGAGGGAACATGGAGGAAAGCCTCTCTCTTGTAAATGAAGGCCTGGTTGTCTCTGCAGCTCTGATAAATGAAATGTTAATAAGGTTTACACTATTTTAGAATGTATGATGTATTGACTGAATATAACAATGGCTACTAAATTTGAATATTTTCATCTTAAATCACCACTCTGTGTATCCAGTTGGATGAAACTCGGTTTAATCACACTCATTTCATTTTCAAAGTGCAGGTAATTACATCCTCTGAAGTATATCTGTATTTTTGAAGCAAAGACGTTAAGATAACAACACTTCAATAAGACTCAATTATTAGCCGGGCTTTTACACAGCAGTTAGATGTTCTTTTTTTTTTCTTTCCCCCCTATAACTGTTTTTTGGAATAAAAGATGATTTTTCTTTTTTTCTCCTCTGCACAGGATCAGAAGGACAAGATCTACTCCACAGTCAGGTCCAAGTCCACATCAGCTACCGTCAACAACCTGAAGCCCAGCACGGCCTACGTGTTCCAGATCAGGGCCTTCACAGAGGCAGGGTATGGGACCTATGGCCCCAGACTGGAGATAACTACCAAGGAGGAGGCCACAGGTAGGGTGGTTGTGGGGGGGTGGGGGTGGGGGTGGGAGGGGGTACACATCCTTTTCCACTGCTACTGCTGCAGTTGTGCATTATATGCTTCCTGTATAGCAGGGATGTAAACAAATGTGTATAAATTATTCAGATATGAACAGAAAATGGGCTCTGAGCATATAAACAGCATCCACATATCACCCAAAGCAATTCTGTTTTGTGTTTTTCCCACAGTTCAAACCTCCCCTTCTGTTTCCATTCACCTCATTTCCACATGGACCGTGAAGACATTTAGATTCAGTCAATATTTTTTTATATATTTTATGGTTAACTAAACGTATGCATACACATATGAGTATAAATTGCAGTGGAAAACAACTGAACACAGAGAAGGATGCAGTATAGACAATTTTTAATGTACATTGTGTTTCATAGAGAGCTTTGTTGTCCTCAGTGCTGACGAATTGGTCATTTAGAGGAGATATTTGTAAGTTTTGCTATTGCTACATAGCTAACGTTAGCATTAACGGCTGTTTACTTACCAGTCTAAAAGAAACGTTGTAAGTTCAGCATCAAACTTCATTCCTTTATTCACCAAGAGCTGTCTCCAGAGGTGGAAAGCAACAACAATGTTAACTCTTGTCTCTATCACGTCTTTTCTTCTACTGAAGTTAGCACGCTAACCAGCTAGCCCCAGTCCGTCTGGTCACTTTCCGATACCGAGTCACTGCAGCCTCCAGCCTGCCCTGAAGAAGAAGCGCTGCTCACAGGACGTATTATAACTTGTTGTCTTGTAAACACAATGATGGCTGAAGCTCTTGGCAGGCGACAGTCCCCACTGCCTGCTCACGGCTCGAAAGAAACACAAATAGCCCCTTTAAGTAGGTCAGTTTTATGTGGAAAAAATGGTTTTCCTTTTCCATACTCATCAGTCAAAATTATTTTTAAGTCATTCACAGTCCAGCCATCTTTTTTCAATAATTCTGAGTCAGGTGCAATTAGTTCTGTTAACATGTGTGCAAAATAAAAAAGAAGTCATCTTTAAGTGAAATCCACGCTAACTGGCCACGACAGAAATGTAAAAGTGTGAATGAACTTGCTACACTCACTTACTATATGAGTTAACAAAGGTAGTAAAAGTGAAGACTGATGTGTCATCGTGATACAGTCTTACGTTTCCCACCTCTTCAATGGTCATCCCCTCTTTTCCTGCAAGTTTGTCCCTGTCTGATTTAATAGATTTTAGTATGTCCTCAAACGCACCGACGCCTACCCCCCACCCTCCTCAAACAGAAGCAGCCTATGACCACAGCAGTATATCAGCACATCATTTTGTAGTACGGGCTTTCAGCTCCAGATTTATGTACAACCTGTTAATGTTTCCAGCTATTATAGTAATAGCCCTGGGAAATTATTTGCTTTCAAGCAAAGCAAACACAAATTGCTTTGACTTTATGCTGACAAGACATCATGGGAAAAAAAAAAAAAAAAAAATCTCAAAGCATAAGGACAAGCTACTGTAGCGTCATGAGGATAAACTCATTTAAAGCTAATCAGTTACATTAGCTCTACCCTGAGTATCACAGTGTGTTACTGTGGGTTTTGGAGAGGGAGGCTGCTGTGAGCTGTTTGTGCTTTAGATATACTGTATATATAGATACTGTAAACATGGACACATCAGGTTCAGTTACTGCTGTTCCTTCCTTCATTAAAGGTTTTGGAAAAAACATGGGTATGTGCTATGTTCAAGGAACATCCACAATGTGAAAAATACGCCTAACACGGGTCTCGGTGTAAGTCTGTGTGCAGGCACAGTGTTACCAAATCTGGCAACATGTCTGTGTCACGGTCATAGTGACATCTTCACTTTGGTTGTTAAAGATAATGAAGAATTATTATAATCCATCACATAGTCACTATTTCAGTCATTTCTCCTTAGTTTGTAGCTCCACCATCATCCAACCTGCCCAATAAAATACGCCCCCGCCCACCTCCCATCCAACATTTCTGCACAAAAGGACACGTTAATTACTCATACCACACGCAGAGTGTGTCCTGTAACAAGGTTAGAAGTTTGCAATCCAGCGAAAGTGTCCTTGTCCAGCACAGTGAACCACTAGTCTCCTCTGTGACGGCCTCTAGAGAGAAACCTGCCGGTGTGTAATACGACAGTTGAGTCCTTTTAATTCCTCCCGAATTAGACAATTGAGGGAAATATTGAACAGTAACAGCTGATCAAATGTCACCACGTTATTCATCGCCCTACTCCTCAGACAGGCCAGGAAAACAAAACAAAACAAAACAAAAAATAATTCTCTCCTCTTTCCAAGTATTTATACATCTCAGATTCACTTGATTTAAAATGCATGAATTTTCCCCCGACAAACACCCCTCGCGTTGACTTTATACGGGGAGCCATTCTTCGGAGCAATCGGCAGTGTGTCAATGCAAACAGTCTGAGCACTGTGAGAGCTCTGAATGGGAAACAATCCAACCTGAATGTGTCTTTGTTTGAGATGAAGGGCATCGTCGTTGCCGTCTGGGACTATTAAGCCCACTTTCTGAAACAGTAGAGCCGTGTGTATAAGGACGGCTCAAAAATAGAAGCTCCCCTCCTCCACTCTCTGAGGGGAGCAGAGGAGGGGGGGGGTGGGTGGGTTTATCAATCTCCAGGCCGCTCATTGGCTCAATTATGTCCTGCAGATTGTTGCTCTTTGATGTGCTTGAAGTTCTCACTGTGCATTTCTCTCTCTTTCTCTTTGCATGTTTGTCCATGTGTGTGTGTGTGTGTGTGTGCGTCTCATCAGCTGCGATTGTCTCCAGCGAGCAGAACCCCGTCATCATCATAGCGGTGGTGGCCGTGGCGGGGACCATCATCCTGGTGTTCATGGTGTTCGGCTTCATCATCGGGAGAAGGTACGCTCTCGCGGGCCCCATTGACTCTCCGCTCCTGTGAGTCTGCGCTTGTCAATTAGCCTTTCTGTCACTCACAGGCCTCCACGTCTGTGGAGTCGTCACATGCGCACACACACGTGCACCCATCATCTTGTGGCATGCTGTGCTAATGGGTTGTAATGCATCATTTTTTATTTTTTTATTTTTTATCCCTGCAGCCCCAACAAAAAAAAATTTTAAGCCATTTTTTGCAGAGCCATTATGAGACAAGTACTCCAGAGCGAGAACGCTTTGGCTCTGCATTCCTGTGTGTGACTGTGAGATCCTGAGGGCGGGATGAAGTATGGCACTGCGCTTTTTTTTCCACCATCACAAAGCACCCTGCCCATTGTCATTATCACCATTTCCTCACATACTTCAGCTGTGTTTCCATCTGCACGAACAGCATTTCATCAGAGCTTGCTGTTAATGTTGGGTTCATTACAATTAGCTTCTCCTTGCCCGCCTTCTTCTCCGAGTCATAACTTAGTCAGACCAGGATGTACAGAAGTCAGACACATCAGTGTGACTTTAACTCTCCAGTAATAGCAGAATCTGCGGTGGCAATCGAAGACAAAGATCCATAAATCTGAGTAGAAATCATTTATAAAAAGACACTAATTCACTTTATCTTCAGTTTAAATAACAATCCACTTGATTGTTGTTTGGACATCCAGGGTTAGAGGACAAACAGGAGCTAAAGCTAATGCTAACTTTTCCCAAAGACCAATCTATTACCTCTACATTTTGATTTTTAAACTTCTATAAACTATGGTGCAGTTCCACAAAAATGTAATATTTACATTATATAACGTAGAATTATCCAACTTTAAGCATAAGAAAAACAGAGGTCAACTTTATCTCACAGCTTACCCAGACAGAAATGTAATTTATTTTATATATGTCCTTATATCAAGAGTGATGTTGCCATGAATGTCACCTATAAGATGATATATAGTTATTACAAATATACATCCTCTGGATATATGAAGATATAGGTTTTATATGGCACAACACAACCACATATATCAATGATATACAGTATATTTAATTTATATATATAAGTTTAATAAAACAACACACTATATATAATACCATATATACACTATATATTTTTCTGATTAATTTCTCATTAATTTAAACAGTCAACATACATTGACAGGCTTTAGGATGGATATATATTTATGTAACATATGTCTATAACATAAGCATACAGTGCATAAACATATGTATTTGTATGAGCTAGACATACTGTATATGTCAAGAAATGAAATTGCCTATTGTCTAATAGGTATCATATATTATTTTACATATGTTTTTATTTTTTATATATATATATATATATATATATATACACATAGCCTATATATATTAATATATGCACATATATTACCTTTGTGTATGGGAACTCACCAACTCCATGACGACATTACGCTCCTTGCTTGCATCACCCAGGTGAACCAAGTGATGCAAACAGACATACATCCCAAAGCTGCCTGTAAACTCCCATGTCAAGATTTGGTTTTACTGACACTTACACTGAAACGCAGCTCTCCCCTGGTAAATCTAACGCCACTGCAGGTTTGTAAGATAACCAACAGTTTTAATTATTTCAACTTCACCATGTTTTCCTGTCAGTTTTGTACAGAAGTCATCAGGTTTCCACACACTGGCAGCTCTGCATGTAATGGAGTTCTGCACTCTGTGATTGGATGCACCTTGGATGTCTTTAAGTTTGAATGTACACAGGCTTCTATACTTGACTATTTATCAGAGAAGCAGTTATGTTCATATGCAGTTGCTTGTCTTTTGTTGATTCTGTGTCTTCAGCCTGGAACATAGTCTTTGCATAAAATAAATGAGACTTACAGCTCCCATGTTGTGAATTTATACGACAAAGAAAAACAGGAAGTGACAAAATCCATAAAAATTAGCTTTTTGTTTGTTTGTCTTACATTATATCCCAGGAACATGGACACTGCCGTCCGTGCCAGTGTTTCTCAAACTTTTCACACAGTTATTTCACACATACTGTCATTGTGTTACTTGTGGATGGAAATGTAGTGAAAATAAATTATTCCACTTGGGTGGGGACCCCCAGGAGCAACCTCAAGGACCCCTGGGGGTCCCCAGACCTCACTTTGAGAACCACTGCTCTATGCATTCATATTTCAATTTCAAAATAATTGCATAAAACTTTTTGTTACATAAACACAGTAAAATCAATAACACATCGGTCGATGGCATTTCTATCTTATTGTGAATAAAGCAACATATGGAAACAGTAGTCTGACAAAGAGTTTAAAATAACTTAACTAAAGGTTCACTTCCTGGCTTTTACAAATGAGTTCAAAATAGCTAGAGATGCCTGAGTACGATGTGTTTTGATGATGTCATAGGCCTGTACATGAAGGCAGTGAAAAACAGGATGGAGTTGTAAGAGTTAAAAAAAATGCAGAGTGAACAGTGGAGACTTGTTTTCATCTATAGTAAGTGCATATCCATCACTTGTGGCTTGAGCGAACCTTCAACACGTTGATATTTATGATAAGACATGTTGAACAGTCCTCTGCAGTGTGTGTATTATCTGATATGTTGCATGATTGAGACGCTCGAGCTACTTTCCCCAGGCTCGGCTGTTGGGTTCAGTGCTCCCGGTTTTGTTGGGAGATTTGTCAGACGCAGCGTCAGTCACCACATTAAAATTCTTATAACTGAGGGCGTTTATTTCTCCCGCACAATCAGCTGATTCTGCCACTCTCTTCTTCTCTCCCCCCTCGTGCAGACACTGCGGGTACAGCAAAGCGGATCAGGAGGGAGATGAGGAACTCTACTTCCAGTGTGAGTGCCTTCGTTCATCAGCCCAAACACACACTTTTATATGTGTATACACAAAGACAGACATTTGAAGTGCTTGCAATAATGAACAGGAAGGGTGCCCTAAAACCTATTAGCACCCACGAGCCATGATTGTTTTATCCCAGTTCATTTGAGTCGAAGCTGGGAACAATCAGGCTAACATCTGGTGCTGATCGGCTGCGCTCAGGCTGCCGAGATGAAGAAGTCAGGAAACTACAAAGGCATGAATGTGACAGCTGTCAGGGAGGGAGTAAAGGCCTGACCCACGAGGGAGGAGGGTCCTTTAAAAATGTAAAAGCCATAACATAGATGGTTTTAACAAGTGACAGAGTTCCTGGTGTACACACAGTTTGCTCTGTCGTAGGTGCTGCTTCTATGTGTCTTCTATCAGTGTGAGGGTTTTTATTTTATTTATTTTTTTAACACTGAGACACCATTCCTAATGATGCCCCCGGAGATACAGCTGCAGCCAGCTTCCCCAAGTGGAGCCGTAATGATCCTCGCTGTAGGCAAACTGCTGATTTGGAAACAAAAGGGTCAGGGGTGTCACAAAGTGTGCAGCTAGAGCAGAGGCAGCGCTGGTGAGCCCAGGTTTGGCTCCCGCTAAGTATCTGCCAGATCCACCTCAGCGGCTCGCAGGTCACACCTGCTAAAGAAAGAAAGAAAGAAAGAAAAAAAAAACACAAACAAGGCTTGTGTCGAGCTTAATGGAGGGATCTGCCATGCAATATCAAATGACGAGAGGCTGCCAGGGCGACAGAAGGCAGATAGTGTCCAAATTCAACATATAGGCCCAATTTGTCTGCCATGTAGTGGCGAGGAAGTCGCGATAAGACATCTCCTATCAGATCCGCTGACATCTCGAATGGACAAAGCAATTATGGGAGCAAGTGGAGGGAAATCTCAGCTGCCCCCCCCCCCTCGCTGGAGCACAATGCATTTGTTGTATTTACACTGCTGGATTGGCCACTGTGCCGTCTCTCCAGCTGCTGAGCTCGCTGCTCAGTCGTGCTGTTTTGTCCAGTGTTTATTCAGAGTATTAAGGCTGTACTATCTCATTAAATTTTAAAGTTGACAGGTTATATTGTTATCAGTGGAATTTAAAATGCATAGTGTAACAGGCCCCTTGAGTGGTCTGTTCACTTAATAGTGCATAATACTGTAATTTGCTGTTAATTTGGAGCACTCTGTAAAAATGGTAACCCCCCCTACCCCGTCTGTGGCCTTTCTCTAACCTTGTTGGTTTTTCATTATTTTCTACAAACGGCTTCCACTCTCACTTCATGGATATTCATGAAACGGTCACTTATCAGTGTTATTTGAAATTGCAAGGATTTCATTTTTAAGAAAACACTAAATGTCTCGCCCAAGGTTCAGATTAACAAAAGAATTAAAAAACCTGGTTCCACACCTCCCTACAAAATCTGCTTCGGTTTCATTTATAGAGACTTACTTTGTATTTCCAAGTTTTTTTTTTGCAGCCCCAGTACAACAACTTCCACCAATCAGATATAAAGGCTGATGTACGGTGGCCCTGAGAGCTCAACACACCGCAGCGTAAAAAAAAAACGCAAATAGACAAAACACAAGCGAATTCAGAAAACATCTTCATCAATTTTACAACACGTGTGCTGCAAACACACACAACACAACTGAATACAGAAAGGCTCTGCAGGTAGCGCAGACGACAACAGAAGTGTTTCCAGGGGACACTAAAAAGTGATGAACCTGGCTGAGACGCACTCGTTCGACGCTTTTTAATTTCAAAAGACACAAAGCGTTGAACAAGTGCGTCCCAGTCAGTGTGTTTGTGTATTTGGTTATGATTTGTCTATTGGCATGGGTTTTTTTTAAAGGTCCCATACAGTCTAAAGGTAGATGTCCGTGTGTTGTTTGATTATAAATCAGGTCTAGGTTCAATATTAATACTGTACCAAGGCTCCAGAGAGACGACTGAGAGAGGAGATGTGAAACTACATTGAGAGGGTTTTGGGTTCTTAAAATATTTCTTCTTGTGGATAAATGAATAAAAGTGTAAAATATAGGAATAAGTAAGCTGCAGTGTGTTGAGCTCTCAGGGCCACCGTACTGATGGCAGCAGAAACAACTTAACACCTGATCGTCGAATCCAAGGATCATAATCGTGACATTAAGACATTATTTTGTAATTTTATTGAAAGTTTAAAAGACATTTTGCATCTTTACCGTTTGGGTTCAAAACTTGTTCAACAGGTTCTTTATTTCCTCCACAAAATAAGTAAATTTTTTACTTGACCGTTACCTGTATGTGAATTCAAGCGGTTTGAAACCCGCTCTGTAATCTCCAGTAGGTCTGAAATTGTCTTTTTTTTTTTTTTTTTTTTTTAAAGAGAATTCAAACCACAAAAATATTGTTTTCAAACTAAAAACATTTTAAGGTTGTAAAGTGGAACTTGAACATGAAGTATTTAGAAGTGCTGCTTGCAAAATTCAAATTATTACAGAGCTTCTTTCAGTCCTTCCATAAAAAATGTTTAATCACTGCTGCTTGCGCAGCTTATTGCTGTGAGCAGACTAATGTTTTTTTATCAGCTTGAGACACTCTAGAGATTTAAGAGAGTAAATCAAATTGAAAGTGTAAAAAGGGAAAATTTTGGAGTGATATCATGCGGTGTGAGCTAACGTGAGCTGGTTGTGGCAGATTCCTTTTCTCCAGCGAGCCAGTCTCAGCTGCAGCGAGGTGAAAGGTAACTGGCAGCCTCATAAAAGCCACCGCGTATGGGTTACTCAAATCTTTGCTTCCCCTTTTTTGTCATGAATTTCCCCCCTCAGTGTGTGAAAACCCGTCCTGACACTTGCCCGCTTTTACTGTTCTAGCAATTCCCCCTGAATCACTGGTCTTGGTAATCGTTTGCCTGTCAAGCGCCCGCTGGCGCGCTGTGTGCATATTTAATCGTAACAGTAATCCTCTTACCTTTCTACAGTCAAATTTCCAGGCACCAAAACCTACATCGACCCTGAAACGTACGAGGACCCGAACAGGGCTGTCCATCAATTTGCCAAGGAGTTGGATGCCTCCTGCATTAAAATCGAGCGGGTTATTGGAGCAGGTGAGCCCATCCCCGTGTCTCTCAGCTCTTGCTGTTTAGTCTCTCCGCGCTCTCATATATCACGCTGACAGCCAAATATTTACACCTTGAGTAGGGACACAGCTTTATGCATTGTATATTGATAGCGCAATTGCAAAGAGGGGAAAAAGTTCATTGCAATTAATGTGTGTCTGGTGGAGGCAGTCGCAGCCATTCCCGCAGCTGAAAAAATTGCTGCCACATGGGTTTTACAGAGGCGGTCAATGACAGTATCTATGCATCTCTAGCATGTCTTATTATAGGTCTTGGTTACACTCCCCTGAGTATAACAAGATGTCGCACTCCCAATTTGTATTCCACCACAGCACAGCTGCTTTGTCTCAAAAAGCACTAATAAATTTGTCATGGTGAAGTATCACACCGATCCCCTCACTCACAAATGTTTTCATCGCCGCACAGGAGAGTTCGGGGAGGTGTGCAGCGGCCGGCTGAAGCTGCCCGGGAAGCGGGACGTGTCGGTCGCCATCAAGACCTTAAAGGTGGGCTACACCGAGAAGCAGAGACGGGACTTCCTGTGCGAGGCGAGCATCATGGGACAGTTCGACCACCCCAATGTCGTTCACTTGGAAGGCGTCGTCACGAGAGGTAAACCGTGAAGACAGTTCAAGTCCTGATCACGGAGATATATGTAGCTTTGGGAGGCAAAAGCGCCACAGTTACGAGTGACATTATATCTGATTAAATTAGCCACACTCCCTGTTTAACATTTTCTCATTTCGACACTGTAATAAAAAGAGCAGATGGTAACTTTTAATTAAAAGCCAATGAAACCCGCAGCTAAAAATAACTTGGAAGCAGTTTCGGCTCGGTCGTTTATTGTGAAGCATTTTGTAAGCAAACAAAATTTAGGTATCAATTAATCATCTCCCTTTTTGTTTTTGTTTTTTTTTTTTTGTTCTCCAGGAAAACCAGTCATGATTGTCATCGAGTACATGGAGAACGGCTCATTAGACGCTTTCCTCAGGGTGAGTATCACCTTCGGAGCGCATGAGGTTTAAAGCAGCATTTTTTCTAACTTCTCTAGAAAGTTTTTTTTTTTTTTTTTTCCCCAAATTGGAGGCGGGCGAGCTGCAATATGATCTGTGCGTTGCATAAATATCATAAATCTTGTGCTAGAGCTGCTGCAGCGGCTGCTGTGACCTACATTTCCCTCATGGTCAGCGAGTATGACTGACCCGCCTGCTGCTTCCTCTGTGCAGAAACACGATGGTCAGTTCACAGTCATCCAGTTGGTGGGGATGCTGCGGGGCATAGCGGCGGGAATGAGATATCTGTCTGATATGGGATACGTCCATCGAGATCTGGCTGCGCGAAACATCCTTGTCAACAGCAATCTCGTATGTAAAGTGTCTGACTTCGGCCTGTCAAGGGTGATAGACGATGATCCGGAGGCTGTCTACACAACAACTGTGAGTCAATTAAAGCTCTCTCTCTCTCTCTCTGTCTCTCTCTGTCTCTCTCTGTCTCTCTCTGTCTCTCTCTGTCTCTCTCTCTGTACCCCGAGACCTGTCAAACTTCTCTAATCAAGTCACAGCCGCTGCATGAAAATAGAGCAGGGTGCACGCCCAGGTAGTCTGCACCACATTTCAACACAAGGCGCTGATAAATCTCTGTTTATAATGGGTTTATACGTAACTAATTCTTTACTAATGGTCAGTAATCATTAACTAGTGCTCTATAGATCAGTTACAAGCCATTAGTTAGAACAACTTTTGGGTTGCCAGGTTGTGAAAAATCCCTTTGACTGTTCAACAACTTGTCAGAGGAGATCAGACTCACAGAGTCAGTTTTATCTTATTGTGTGATGTCTTTTTAATTACATTTACACTTTGATTTGTTTTTCGATGTTTGACATTTGACTGGTGGGAAGCGCTTGTATTGAAAAGTGCTATACAGATAAAGTCTTACATTATTTTAATATTGTGTATTATTGAAAAAATTGTATCATATACCAAATATTAAGTCAGTTAATTACAAATGCGATGCTTCGTTCATGGACATTCGTCTTGTATCAAACTCATAATATAAATCAAGCACATCTTACATTATACTAGAAGCAAAGGCTGCAACAACCAATCACAAGAGTTCATCACAAACATCTGATGCAGTTACAATAAAAAAAACTGAAAACAGAGAAGAAGAAACTACATGGCAATGCAAAATAAAAAAATTAAATCATACAAAAAAAACAATTGTCTCAGTTACTGTTGAATATGAAATATGAGTAAATAGTTGAATATTTAATGCAAAATGAAATTTGCTGGTTGTATATTCTTGCATGCGAGAAATATCTGTGTTTTTCACTATTGTTTGAGGATTGATAAAGCAAATGATCAATCGATCAATCAAGAAAATAATAGTCAGGTTAATTGTAGCTATACTGATGTCACACAAAATAACAAGCTTTTATTGCAACTAAAAACTCTCAAGTGAAAAGTATCGCAGGTACAAACTTGTCAGTGCAGCTCTAATGAAGCCAATCAGTCTGCAGATGTTTTGAAGCTGTGAGTTTGAGTGTTGACCCTGTGTGTAATTGTAAAACTCTCTCTAATTGCTGTTTTAGGGGAAGATGCAGGATGTAATGAATGTGATCTTTACTCCAGCCACTGACCTGCGTTTTACTGAACAGGGCGGCAAAATCCCCGTCCGGTGGACCGCGCCAGAAGCCATCCAGTACCGTAAATTCACCTCCGCAAGTGACGTGTGGAGTTACGGTATTGTCATGTGGGAGGTCATGTCCTATGGGGAGCGGCCTTACTGGGACATGTCCAATCAAGATGTGAGTTGCTACCTGATGAGAAGTCATACAATCACTTATACTATAACTCTGGACTACCTTATATCCAAAGAACATAATCTCTCAACCCAGTCTCACTGCAGTTCATGACATGTTGTTTATTGATTGTATTAATAACAACAGGTTGGTGAGCCAATTAGAAGAGAGCAAGCTCTGAGCCTCTCTTCTGATTGGCTGACTGTTTTCTGAGTGATCTAATAAAAAATATAGCAGATTTCAGGTAAACACCTTGAGAAACCAAATCCTGCAAGGTTTGGATGGTGGGTCCAGGTGGGCGGGGTTTGGTGACTGCTTTGATGTGACATCACAAAGTTACAGAAGTCCTGACGGCTGGTTTTAAGGCTCAGTTTCTGAATACAGGCTGTGAGCATTTCTCTGTGGACTGAGGCTTTGATACTTTCACAGTATTATTATAGAACCTAGACCTAGGCTTTATAATCAAACAACACATGGACATCTACCTTTAGACAGCATGGGACCTTTAACCAGCTAATGATCCAAAGAGAGGGCATGAATTGTAAAGAAAACAAGATTTTTCCAGCATTAATCTCTAATTATCCCTAATGAAGTCATCCCACCAAAACACAGAAAATCACTGACAAAAATCCCAGTTTGTGATTTTTCTTTGAGCCTTTCTCTCAAGACCCTCATGAGAGCAGCTCTGCGGGGACGGTAACCTTGGGCTTAATTAGTTCAAGAAGTCTTGCTATATTCATGGAGTTTGAATCCATTTGAAGGAGAAACAGTCCTGAAATGGGACAGGCATGAAAATGAAGTCCTGACTGAGAACACGGATTTGATGATGCTATTAATACGAATAAGAGGAGTGGAAAACTCTTGTCATGCAGAGTGCTTTTGGTTCAGATTTCTTAAGTTCATAATGACTTATGGTAATGGGAACCAGTGTGAGAGGCAGCATGGAGCCAATAACACAGCTAACATCTCGTGCATATTTTACAGTTTACAGTGAATTTACTTTGTTTTTAGACGTAGATTTTACACATTAGGTTCATTCACCATGGATAGTACTCCTCAACCTGCCTTCTGTAGCTCTGCAGGAGCTTTGCAAAGTCTGAGAAAATAGCCTTAAGCTGAAGAGATGCTATCAAATCAGTGCATTATGGGAAACATTTCAATGTTATTAGAGTTGGATCTATACCATATCGTTCTCTGCTGCACTAATTTTGACCATTATTTTTTAATCTTAATCTTTCCAGGTCCCTAACTTTAGTGAAGTGCGATTATAGTTGTTTGGACACCTTTTAAATGACATTTAGCTCACTCATTCCCTGCTAGGGAATTACTTTACACCTCTCTTGTTGCACATAAAACGCTGTAATAATTGCACAGCATATATATTGAGTAAGTAACAAATCCTAAACATGAGTCAGCAATATCAGGCTGTACTGGTATCCCAAGGTAATATGACTCTTATTTTTTGTCTAAGTGATACAGTCGAACTGCAGTCAACCATAAAACAGTCAAAACAAGATTTTCCAGCTCGTGGAGCAATGCAGCTAAAAAGAAAAGAAGACACACATAACACAAACAGTGACACTGCTTCAAGCTCCCACCTCACTGCTGATGTTATGAAACTCAATGCACCAGAGCTGGAAGGGGAAATTTGAAAATTTCGTAATTAAATAAGATAATGTATCTTTAAAGGTGCCGAATGATAAAACTAATTTGATTCATGAATCTGAGATGGGTAATCATGATTCATAATCATCGTGATCATTTTTATACCCATCCCTGTGTCCCCATCAGCTAAATTGTTGAGTGCTGACTCCATGACATTGCCCACACTTTTCTTCCTCAAAGAACACTTCTGCGTTTTTTTTTTAAAGTCCCACACATCTTTTTTTTTTTTTTTTTTTTTTTTTTTTTTTTTTACAAATGTCACAAATTGCTATAATGATTGACTCACCCGCAGTTCTCTGAGTGCTGTTGCCTGCTTTCCTGCCAACTCCCACTGAGAGCGTCCAACTGTGCCAGACCACTTGAAGCTTTTCCTTATTGTCGGACACTTGACACATTTTGATTGATGGCAGAAGGCGAGCGAGTCCTGGCTTTAAGATTCCTGCATGGCGCCCGGTGTTCAGTACCCACGGCATCAGGGCTAAACATGATTAAGATTCTCGGGCGCTCCGGAGCAGAGGCCTGCTGATTGAACAATCAGATGTTAGAAATGCTAAACAAGATGTCCGGCCATTAAATTGGTGCATGTGGCGTTTTGCTACTTGACAGACGTCAATGTCAGAAATTTTTTTTGTGCTTTGTCAAGACGTCAGCAAACATCCTCCAGGGATGCTGGGAGAACATTATTTGCATTTTCCCCCCAACAATTTCAGTGTTTTGACACCTTTTCCCTCCATGACTCATTCTTGTCTGAGAGGTCCTGACATGAATAGCTGATGAATATACGCAGAAACAAAGGAAGAGGAGCAAGACACTTAAATCAAGGTGCCCACTGCACCTACTGTTGTCATGGCATTGACTTCTAATGAAGTCGTGCTAAACTGCTTGCATCACGCTTGCTTTTCTGTTGTTTATTGGAGACTTACGTATAAACAATGTGGGACATTAATCTCAGGGAAACAACTCTGTCTGCACTGTGGCATATATCTTAGTAAATGTCTGCAATGCAACCAGAAGCATGACCCTGTAGTGCCTTGAAGGTTATCAGTAAAATCTTACAATCAATTCTAAAACTTGCAGTCGACCAGTAAAGCTAGACAAGGATTGGCGTAATATGATTCCATCTCCTAAAGTGTTTCTGTAAAAGCCCAGCTGTAGCTTTTAGCGCTGACTGAGTGAAGGCAGGAGATTGTTTTCTGCCTGAGCCCGGTGAGAGGAGAGATGCACTAATCAAGCTGAGGCAAAATAAAGAGCATGCATAACCTTTTCAGGATCAGTAAATGATAGCTTGATGAATGAAGTTGAATAAATTACACAACCTTTTTTAACATGACCATCAAAGTAAAGTTCATTTATTATTTTCATTTATTACACGATGGATCTCATTTCCTTTGTCTTTGCCGTTATCACCTATGAATTATGATAACATTTTCCTCAGCAGCTTCACTGATGAGATGTAGAGACTAGTTAGACAAAGCTTTGTGCGCTGGGAATAAACAAGCAGTTTACCTAGGCAATTGACTATTGAAGCAGACACTTTGGCTGCATTTGCATTCAGACTCTCTTCCAAATAAGTGGTTTAGAAAATGAGGATGAACAGGGCATTTGTTTAAAACATGTCCGAATGTGTGACAAACAACAGAGATCTCAGCAATCAAACTGGAGAATTAAATGTCACCGTAACTGATTGAAATGATGGAGACTAAACAACATGACTAAAACAAAGCCAAGTTCTGGCAATTTCAAATCACACTTCCAGAAACTTTGGGGAACTTGTGAAAGACAAGAGTCCAAAAAAAGAAAAGAAAAGAAAAAGTTAAAATCGATGCTGTAGAGGCGCATATATCCCTTTTAATCCCTAGAATGGGTCACATTCCAAAATTGCTGGATCCTACACTTCCCATAATATGATTATGTAGCATCTTCGCTTAGACCTCCTCCCCGCCTGGTAAATCCCCACGCCTTTCAAACTCCATGCCCCCACTAAAAGTCTCCAATGTCAAGATGAAATACGTGGGTGATGGCACATGAGTAATTCTTTCAGACTTGACAGAGACGTTAAGACAACGGTAAAATTGACACGGACATAACACAAACTTGGTGAATCGTTCAGTCAATAATTTTGCGGACAGCGCTTGACAAATACAAATGGAGATCATTAATAGCTGTAGCAAGGGGCAGATACAGTAGATAGATCTCGGCAGCCTCATTTAGAAAGAGGAATACTTAGATAGTTAGTATCTGAGTGGAATATTGGTTGGATGGGGTATGATCAGAAACTTGTTTCACCCTCAGTCCAGCTACTTTCACACATTGACACACAACCACCCAATCCGGCCCTTTATTCTTCAGAGCACAACATTCTTTTGATGATTAAGCCACGACACAGTTTATTACACACCTGGCGATTAAAGGATGAAATGTGCATTAGGAATAGTAAATTATTGACCTTGCCAGAAAGGGTTGGAGTTAAGATGACACTAAAGACTGATACTAAAATGTTAGAGTTAGGTTTAGACCAAAGGCTTCTAATAAAGGGTTTGAGGTTAAGGATTTGGGTGATACCTAAGGCTGATATCAAATTGTTTGAGGTTAGGGTTACGGTGATACTAAAGGTTGATACCAAGTGGATCGGAGTAAGGGTGATACTAAATGTTTTGGGGTAAGGGTTAGGGTGATACTAAAGGGTTTGGGGTAAAGGTTAGGATGGTACTAAAGGCTGATATCAAGGAGTTTGAGCTTAGGGTTAGGGTGAAACTAAAGGCTGATACAAAATGGTTTATTGTCAGAGTGACTGAAGTACAGACTAAGTATGTTATGGATAGGGGTTGGTGGTTAGGATGATGCTAAAGGTTGATACCAAGTGGTTTAGGGTTAAAGTGATGCTAAGTGCTGATACTAATGATCCATCTGTTTTGTATTCTCCAGGTCATAAAGGCAATAGAGGAGGGCTACCGTCTTCCAGCCCCCATGGACTGTCCACCAGGCCTGCATCAGCTAATGCTCGACTGCTGGCAGAAAGACAGAGCCGAACGTCCCAAATTTGATCAGATAGTTGGCATCCTTGATAAGATGATCCGTAACCCTAACACCTTGAAAACCCCAGTGGGAACGTGTACAAGGTGAGGAAATAAAAAAAAAATTTGATTCATTTTAAAATCTTGCTTCATACGATAAAGAATTCTAACTTTTATTTCAGTGCATTAGTGGATGATCCGAAGCGTCCAGTGGATGATTTAGCTTCTGTAGTTCACAGATGAAAGATAAATCCCGGGGGATCGATACCCCAAAGCAGCTTCCATGACTTTATGGTCAATAGCAGGGCTTTTAAATCAATCTCTATAATGAGTTCCTGGTACTTTAAAGTGCAGCGGGGACTCCAGACCTCACTTTGACGTCTGTCAAATGAATTCTATTTGCAGTCAGAACATACTTTCCCGAGGTGAGATTGAGACTCAGAGGTTACAACTGGTTAAAAGGCACTTTACTATATGGAGACTATATGGCTTGGGTGTATTCAGATTGAAAAGATATTGACCAAAATATTTTTCAGAAGCAGAAAGCTGACACGCTGCATCTGTTTGTGAATTTTGTATTGATTGAAGCCAACATTCAGCTAGTTTCTCCCCTTCTTGCAATTTGCTGCACCGCTGGAAGCCTTTGGTCGTCGCTTTGTCTCATCTCCTGCTTGATTGTGTTTTCGGCGTTCTCTTTTCACATAAGACATAAACATCTCTCTGTGCTCTTCCCGCAGACCAATTAGTCCACTGTTAGATCAGAGCACACCAGACTTCACCGCTTTCCGCTCAGTGGGAGAGTGGCTGGAAGCCATCAAGATGGAACGATACAGAGACAACTTCACAGCAGCTGGCTACAGTTCCCTGGAATCTGTGGCCAGGATGTCAATCGAGTGAGTAGATACCAAGACCTGAAGGGGTTAAGCATCGGTAGTGAACATTAATACCAGCCGCATTTAGAGATCTCACTTACACTTTCTTCCATCTGAGCGGGAGTAAATGGGTCTACCCTTTTGCATTTTACATTCAAGTCGAGCGTTGGTTGACTCGCCGCCATCCCTTGAGGTTTACGAGTTAATGTAACTTTATGTCAAACATTGGCCCGAGCAGATAAACAGGCCTTTATTTCTAATTCCCCTTGTTTTATTAATGTAGTGTATCATGTTTTAGTCATTAACCTCCTTGTTTATTGACTCTGCTGTTCCTCCTGTTTTAATTTTCTCTTAATGCAAACTAAACACTTACCTGTTTTATTGATGAAGTCAATAAAGTGTACATTTCCACAGAACTAATTCCATCAGTTTAAAAGCAGTCAAGTTGTATCCACTGCTTTATTGCTCTGACTGTGTCTTTACATCAGAAAAAAAATGTTTTCAGTCACTAATTCCTTCTCATCACTTCTACTTTGCCCTATTTTTGCCGTAGTGGGTGTTGAGCTAACATTACTGTTACACTTTTTACGCAGCTCTTTCACATTAAAAGTCTCAGCAGCTCCAAGGGCGAGATTCTTCCCTTTCCCTCTTTTGGCTTTTAAAGCAGTGGTTCTCAGTATTGGTTTTCACTATAATTCCATCCATAAGTAATACAATGACAGAATGTATGACTATTGGGTTTTAATACTTTCGAATCCGACCCACGGCCCTTTGCTGCAAAAGTAAAAATGGCGCAACTCTTGTTGTTGTTCTCTACTACTTAGCATGCATTTGTAAAAGACTCAGACTTGAAACCTCTCACCTGGTCAGTGACTCATGTAGGCCTTAGGTAGATTTGGATCAACAGTCACAAGGTTAAACATCGGCAATGAGGGCTGAGCCCACAGTAGTCCCAACCACCAGTGACTTATTCAGCTGTAATATTGCAACTGAGTTCCTCACTTCCTGTTTGCTCAACCAATTATTGAATCTACAGCTTTTTTTTTTTCTAGAAAGCACAGTTAGCTGAGGGCTACTCTCCTTTGTTTTACTGTACAACGGACCCAAACTCCATAACCTCACAAGATAAAACATGTTGTAAAATATTAAAGATGCAAGATCTGTGAAAAAAAAAAAAAAGTGTTCTCACCATATCGTACTGAAGGTCCTTATAGTGTGTCTGCATCTGAAACAGCACGAGTCAGTGTGAAGTCTTGGCTGTGACTTTTCATTCTTATTGGCTGAGAACACGAGCATCAGCCCAGACTGCGGTTTGCCCTCGAGTTGTTACTGAGAGTTTCCAGTCACATCATGTGTCAACATCCATTTCCACATCCCCGTAAAATGTTCAAAGGTTCAGAGTAAACTTTCCGAGCATATTACCCAAGAAAAAAATGAAACTTTACTCTCCTTCAGATCGTCTTTTTTGCGCTACATCATTTGAAATTGATGTTCAAATGCATTATTGAGACTCCTTCCCGCACGATTACGAAAGTCCTGAAGCATGCTTTGTCCCGTACTGTGGTCCGGTGCATTGACCGACGTGTTGTCCTGTCTTGCAGGGACGTGATGAGCTTGGGGATCACGCTGGTGGGCCATCAGAAAAAGATCATGAGCAGCATACAGACTATGAGAGCCCAGATGCTCCATCTCCACGGCACGGGTGTCCAGGTGTGACTGGGACGGGCCACCACCACCTCAGTACGGGGGTCAAATCGAAACCAGAACTGATCCGGAGCAGCGCCTGGGACGTAACCGGGGATAATGGTCAAAGTAAACAGACATCTGCTATGTCTGACTCTTCCGGCTGCGTCCGGAGCGAAATCATTCCTTTGTTCCTCATTGAAGGATTGTGGTCTTCAAAGGGCACTAAAGAGAGGAAAAGGGCAAAAAAAAAAAAAAAAAAAAAAAAAAAAAAGAAAAAAAAAAAAAAAAAAAAAAAAAAAAACGGAAACAAAAAAAAGAAACTACCTGGACGAGACTTTTTCTTTTGTTTTTTTTTTTTTCCTTTATTACTTTTTAAGAGGCGCTTACAAACTCAACCACATATCAAACGGCACATTGGAAAGGAGTTTGACGCTTACGTTTCTCTAACTTAATGAATGATTTAAGTGCACACCACGGCGATGGAGTTCCTTTAAAAAGAACAAAAAAAAAAAAACAAAAACAAAAAAAAAACATCTTGTCTACTTGCAATCTGTGTTTTCTAATTTGTTAATTTTTCTTTGTATCTGCCACCGTGACATGTTGTTGCGCATGCAGCGATTCTTTTGATTTTGGACTTGACAACAGGGTAAACTCCTCTTTTCTCCTAAAAACAGAGGGGAACTTTTTAGGTGCAGATTCCAAGGTACCTTTTTTTTTGTTTTTCTTTTTTGTGCTTGAGACACGCTGGACTGTTTGAACCGTTTGCAGTGTTTTCATGGTATCCTCAAAAGTGCGTGTTCGCCGCCTACAGGAGTGACTTTTTGACGTGGTTTCAATTTTTTCTTTCTTTTTTTTTTTTTTGTTTTTTGTTGTTGTTTTTTAATCAAGGAATTTTTTCCGAAGAGTGCAACACTGAGGAGACGCGAGACGTGAACTGTTCTCCGAATCACCAGACTTCTTTTATATCAGAGTAGCAATATCCTTTGTCTTAGTGTTCACTACAGGAAACACGGAAACCGTTAACTTGGTTATTGAGTAGAATGTTTTAGCACTGTTGAAAGATTGTATTGAAATTGGAGCCGCCGCATGTTGTTTTGCCTAAAATGTCGCACACAAATGTTGGTGCATTGTACAATTTTTTTAAAGGGTGGATCCAAGAAAGGTGTAGACGTAATACTGCCTTAAAATATGTTTGAGTATTGCCGCTATTTTAGGCATTTCAATGGCAATGCTTTCTGCGGAGGGTGGACAAGCTCCCTATTTTTATTTTTTCTTTTGTTTGTTTGTTTTTTTTTTTTGTAGTTTTCTTTTTATCTGGAACTTGACCTGGTCAGATCAAGTTCACGAACACGATTTAATGCCACGAGTGACAGTCAGCGAAGAAGAGATGAACTAAACAGAGCAATAATTACCAGGTAGAAATGGTCCTCACCTGAATTTTTTTTTTTTTTTTTTAAGGTGCTAGGTGTAAACGCATGTGTGTGCTGTGCTGAGACAAAAACCCCTTTGGAAATATTCAGTCATCGCTAGAAAAGGAGAGAACCCAGGTAGCAAAATAAATCCGGCCACATGCTTGTCGTCGTCAGATCTGGCCCATATACAGCATGACTGCGAGATGCTACTTCCACATCTGGACCGATGCTGGCGCACACACAGAAAACTTTCCTGGCTGTCAGCCGACACTGGAGGATAACAGCCAGAATCAGCCCAGATGTGGAGGTATATATGGGCCAGACTTGGGCCGAGGATTCAGGCATATGTTGGGCCAGAAGTTTCATTTTGCTCTCTGGAAAGGAAAGTTTGGGAAAAGAAAGGAATGTACCTCTTTGACCTAAAAAAAAAGAAAAAAAGAAAAAAGAAAACGGTTTGGGAATGTGCTCAGAAAAACTGCTGTGCCAAGTCATCAGACAAAATAATCATAGTCGTGTTTTTGCCACTTGATATGCTAAACGTTTGATGAAAATCTAACACGGCATGGAAGTGTTGAACCGAGTGGCTGCAGAGATGAAAGAGGCAACATTCGAAACACTAGAAAGGTGCCAATTAGCCTTGCTGACATCATCTTCTGACACCAGTGCGCCGCCCAGAAATCAAAAGAGCCCCCTTCAGGGTTCTGGGTATGAAAATGCTGGGGACCAAATAACCGGAGCTCGTGTCAGACGCGGATCGTGCTGTTGAATTTCCCATCGTCCCCGGCTCCGTCGGCCGCCACCACGCAGCTTCTCCCTTGTTTATTCATGCATCTCCGCCGCTCTTCCCCCTCACAGGCACAGATAAAAGTTAAAGTGTCTCTTAAGATTTGCTCCTCTTTTCTTCCATGCAGCTTTGTATGGAGAACAGAGGCGAGGCGAGGCGGGGGGGGGGGGGGGGGGGGGGGGGGGGCGTTTTGCAGAGGATGTCCTAAAAGCCAATCAACCTACTTGGTGCCATCTGTCTCCACTTGGAATGCAAAAAAAAAGAAAAGAAATGAAGACACGTTTTCCATGTTAAATATGTTTTAGTGCAGTTTTCTTTGATAGGAAAATACAGTCATTCAGCTGTCGTGTAAAAAGGGGAGTGTTGCTCACAGAGGAAAAACCATTACAACTTCTTTTATTTGCTGCTGCAGCCTGAGATGTGAATCTATATTTTCAAAGTCACAAGTCATTTTCTCAAAGTTTTGCATAGGAAAAAAAAAAAAAGAAAGAAAACACATCAGGAATTGTTGAGCTCACTGACGAGCGGTTTTCATCATTTCTCTCCATTGTCTAGACCACATCCGCATGAAGTCAGCTCCATCCGCACTGAGCCTTTCACAAACACCCTCCACTCCACTCCTCTCTCTGGGTGAAGCTGAAATCATTCGGTGTAAAAGGAGGTGTTGGAAAAGAATCGGTCCGTCATCACGGTGGACGGCTCATTGTTGCCTTCAGATGTCAGTGACACAGTTCGGGTGTTGTCACTTACCTGTCTTTACATTTATTCTGCGAGAGGATGATCAGAAAATGAATATTTGATCAGGGCTGCAAGTACAGTGATTATTAGTTTCAGTCGAACTCCCAGTTATTTACTCCATTCAGAAGATAATTGTCTGGGCTGGAAAATGACAGAAAACAGTGAAAAATGGCTGATTTTAGTCTGTAATAGGTAATAATAAGATAATAGGAGAATATGAATAACAGCAAATACTTAGATTATATAACTCACATTAACAATTATCAAAACAGCCACAATCAGAGGTGATCACAGAGAGCAGCAGTGGACTGAACGGATGTTTAAAGGTCCCGTATTTTACACTTCTCTTGTGCTTTATCTGAAGTGTTGATCTATAAGAAGATATATCTCAGTGTAGTTTCACATCTCCTCTCTCAGGCTTCTCTCTGGAGCTCTGGCAACAACAGGTCGGTGAGCCAATCAGAAGAGAGGAGGCTCTGAGCCTCTAAGGGATTTTTTCTTTAGCATTAGAGCTAATCTGGATATTTTCACAACCAGGGAGAGTGTTTTCGGCCCAGTTGGGAGACCTTTTATTTAATTAGGCTGGTAAAAATGATATTGGGCAGACTGTGATAATTTGTGTTACTTTTTATACCAAAAAAAAGAAAAAATGAGGCTGTATTCCAGTAAATCAGTCCTTCTCATCCAAGCTGAACAGGCCCGGTGTGACGCACAATGTCTGATAATTGATGACCCACAAAACCAAATTTTCATTTTGTCATAGTGCAGGAACATGTTTTATTCTTAATTTGGATGATTTCCACCTTAATTTTGACTCGTGTCGTGATTTCGTGATCAGTCAATGTTTTTTTTCTTTTACCTTTTTATCTGTAAAATTTAAATTTCGTTAAATATTCAAAACTGACACGACATTCATTCTCATAGACCTCCAGTGTTTCTAACTTTAGGGTTTAGGGCAGAGCTGACGTTGCAGGATGGTCCTCCGCTCTCTCCCTTGGCTCCCGCTGCTGTCGCCTGGGCGTTAAGAGGCCGATCAGCGCCACAATAATTCCCAATGTTTCACAGCTCATTAGCTCATTCACTCACTCCGACTTCAGTGCAGTGTTTTCATGATTGTAAGTAGAGCCGAGTTCATGTGTAGTTTCCAGTACTGTCAGCGTAGACTGTGACAGCAAGGTCGCCGGTTCGAATCCGGCTCAGCAGCTTTGGTGTTTACGTCTTCCTGTTTGTGTCGATGGTGGATTGTGTTCGTACACATGTTGATTGTGCTTGGATCTTATGTTTTAAAAGCTTAGCTCAATGTACGAACCCTTCTCTGATGAGGTCTAGGCTCTGATTGGGCGACTTTTCATCAGACCCGATCTGGCAGCACCGACCGGTTACCATATTGTATGGTATATGTGTTTCAGAACCCACCTCTAGTTTAGCGATGTGCGTCACGCGAACACGCCGCGACGCACATCGCTAAACTTCCCACACCGTTTTCAGGATGATCCAGCTCACGATGCTTTGATGCATTTTCGACTGTGGGACTCACCCTGACCAGCTCTGAGCCCCCAACTGTGTCCCACACACACACACACACACACACACACACACCCTCCCTTTATCCGTACAGCAAAGCTCAGCAATTGGGTCTTGGCCAGCCCTTTGAATTGAATACCGGCATAAAGTCATTCAGTCAGCACAAAACTCCCCAGTTCACAGGCAGCACTCTGTCTAACCCCCCCGCCCCCCACCAACAACACCACCACCACCCCTCCACCCCTGCTCTCATTTTAAAACCAGGACCCCTGGAGGCCCCTCACACCCTAAAGTAGAACTCCTCTGTCCCCACCCTTTTTTTTTTTTTTTACCTGTGCTGGAGGAAGTTTGGGCCAAATTGAGATTAAAGTTCAGGATAAAATCGATCCAACGTCCAAATCACCTGCAACCGTCACCAACGAAGTCACTTTACTGTCTGTTTCAGCTTGTTTCTCAACCTGAGGCTGCTCAGCTCTGGACAAAAAAATAAAAATAAATAAATAAATAAATAAAAAGTTGCAGTTCAGCAAAAATACATAAAAACAAACAAAAAAATCTTGGATGTGGAGGGCTGGCTGGAATCAGAAGCAGCAGATAGAGCAGGAAGTTATTTTTCAAACCTTGTGGTACAGCAGTTGGAAATTAGTTTCACCGCTTTTGGCGAGGTGGTGGGTAATTCCAAAGAGTGCAGCACTGTTGATTGTGTCCGAAACGAGTCGAGACTTGAGGGAATCTTTGTATATGTTCTAATTGTAAAACTTGTACATTTTA